TACATCGATTCTGTTTCAGAATAACAGCATAATACATTTGGCAATGAGGGCTGTACTTAATGGTTAACTGTCGACTAAAAAAAAAAATAAAAACAATGAATTAATTTCTCCTTCCTGTAAAAAAAATCTACTACCTAAAATATAAATAAATGTGCACACATATAAATTATATAAATAGTATTGTTTGATCTTTAAAAGTACAAAATCACGTTGTATAACTATTCAACTGATGATATAATTCTAAAAATAAATGCCGGTTAAGTTTATTAAGTATTTCTTTAAAAAATATATACAGGAACCAATTGTTATAAGTACTTTAAAAGTAGGACATCTTTAAAGTTAAGTTATTTCTTATTAGAAAACACATCGCTGAACTTTATAAGTAAAATATTTCAAGTATTTTTGGATTTTTAATTTTGTTGCCTCTGTAACTTGTCTATTCTTGTCGTTTTTGCTAATTGATCTTTCACTCGAAAATACCAATCTTCTATAAGTACAATTTAAACACTCCTCGGACCCCAGGTATCATATATAATACTACGGTTCAACAAATTCTTTTTCGCATTCGACGGCAAACGCAGGTATTCTGCCCATAAGTATCGCCCGTGTTAAGCATCTACTATGCGTAGAAAATTGCGCCGTGGCATACTTCTCGATTGAAATGAGTCAGATTTTTGTTGTGAGTAAGTAAATATGTCATGAGAGACGACATAATACTGTATGTACATAATACTTAGCATGTTTCTGTGAAACATGCTAAGTAGGTACCTTATGAGCAGTAGAACAAATAAATGGACAATACGATGTATTTACACCTTTATTGATTTTTTTGTTGCAACTAGTTGGCTACAATACAAGAAAGATTGTTTAGCTGCAGAAACTCCCAAAGAAAAATATTCAAAATTAACTGTCATTTAAGTTTTCGCTTGCTAGGTCGCTCTTGTACTCCAAGAACAGAAGTTCACCCACGACAGTGACGAAGAAAATTAAAATGTAACCTGAAAACGAAGAAAATCTGCACCAATCCCTGATAAACGCTTACGGCCAAAGGAAGCTAAACACCTCCCAGAATTCATTAATGAAAGCCAAAAATCAAGAACAAAATGCAGGTATCCTGGATGCCACAACCCGACGTTTGTCAAATGTGCCCGGGGCAAGGTTTTTTTATGATGTAGTGTCAATAGAAATGGTTTTACTCAGTTTCATCAATAAAAATGATAAGTGAATATTAATTTTTTTATTGTCAGTCCAGACCCAAAGTATCACTAGTGATAATACAATTTAAAAAAAAAAACCAGAGTTTTTTTTTTATTTTTTGTTTTTTATGATTTATCATCATCATCTTTGGCTCGACAATACTATGTGAATCTTGGCCTGCTCTAAAATTCGTTGCCATTCTGTTCGATTTCTGGTTGTGTTGCCATCTTCTGATTTTTAATATCCGTAAGTCGGTTTCAACTCCATCTAACCACCTAATTCGCGGTCGGCCTTTGCTTCTTCTTCCTACAGGTGTTCCTGTGGTTAAATTTTTAGCAATCGTATTTTCTGGCATTCGTATTATGTGTCCAGCCCATCTAAGTCGCTGTGTTTTAATGAACGTTACGATTTTTATGAACGTTTTTTATGATTAGTAATCCCAAATCGTAACATTCTTTTGATTGCAAACAAAAAAATCACTGCAATTCATGTTTGGGCCCAAGGAGGTTATATAACTACCAAGCATTCAGGTTAATTACGAAAGCATTTAATAAAAACGTTTTGGTAGATAAGTGAAAAAACAGTTTTCACTGCAACTTTATTTCTACAAATCAAAACAGCAAGATCATAATATGAAATTTGGGCAATAGAACTTTGGAAATTTACTTTTTAATAATAATTTTGGATTACTAGCTTTTTGTACGTTATGCAGAATTAATGTTTAGTACAAATTAAGTACTCATCTGGAGAAAACGATAACTAATAAATTATCATTTTTAGAATTATATAATCATATTATAAAAATATATTTCCTTTTCTGTTTATTTTATTAACAATTGTATTTTTATAAATGTTACAATCTCTGCGTATATAAGTTTAAAGCATCTTATATGGCATTTAAACAGTCATTTTTTTCTTGAATTTTTAAGTAGTTTAAAATTTTAAGTATCCAGTCTAAGTACTAATTCATAAAGACTTTCTAAAATACTAAAATAATAATCTGTTTCGGACAATAATGGTTATTTATAATATATACCTTAATATACTATTACTAATATATAAGTCATAATCCATTTTATCAAGGAAGCATTGTTCTGCATCAATTTGTTTTTACAAATTTGAGAACTTATCGAATACTCTTTTTATTGTTCCGATTTAAAAATTTAAATTTTGAGTGGGATAATACATACACTACAGCATAGTTAGTGTTATTGCAGTAATATATCAGACTACAGCAAAAGGCAATTATAAAGAGGTTGTAGCCGGTTACGCTGATGAGCACTTTCTCCTCGAAGCGTTGGACTACTCCCATCGGCGACAATTGGAAGCTCGGCATTCATCTGCGAAGTATAAGTTACTGCTATACCGAAAATGCCGCTAAAATGGGACGTTTTATAACATGCGCGATGAAACTTCACTATAATTGGCATTTGGTGTAAATAAAATAGCTATTACGATTAACATCTTTAAAGCATTCAAAGATAGTAAGAAAGTAATTCTTATACAACAACGTTTTCAAGAGAATTTTATTATATAGGTTTTCCCAATTTTAGATGTTTCTCACAAACCACCAAAGTTAGTAAGTGTAATAATACCGTTAGCACTATTACTAGCGGTTATACAAATGACGTTACGAAAAATGTTTAACACAATGACTTAATTTAAACTGGGGTTATGGCAACATATAATTAAGCTTAGTTTTATCGCGTTTTAAACCTTAATCAATAAAGTAAATTGTTGAAAAAACCTATTAAAAATGATATTGGTTTTTTTTAACGAGAGAGTCAAACCATTTCGTTAGTGACACTAGACGCGATAGATAATAACCTTTGTAATACAAATATAGATAAATCTTACCCAAATGCAAAAACCAAATAGAATTCAATGTCTGTAATAACTCATTAAATCAATGTATACTTTCAATTATTCCTTGCGGTTCACTAGACAGAAAAGATAAATGTTGATAAAATGGCAAAGATCCAGGAAAATTCATTCTTGCATGTTCCATATGAAACTTAAAAATCGAAAAAGTAAATAATGGACGGGAGAAGTAACCAACATGAAATATACTCAGAGTAGGCCATACCATTCGCCAAATGCGAAAGGAAATAAAGAAATACTAGTAGAAGTGAATGAAAATAAGCAAGCATCCACAAAAAATCCCCTTGCCATTTGTTATAGAAAACGACGTCATCGAAGCAGTGAACGAATTTATATGCCTGGGAGACATGCCTTAACACTGAATACTATATATAGAAATACTATCTAGAAATGTTATTATGTTTCGAAAGAAAAGTACTAAGGCGAATCTATGGAGCGGTGAATGACAATGGAGTGTGTAGAAGAACATCTTCGAATATTATAGAATATACAGGAAACCGACAAAATTACATATTACATATCTTGGATGCAGCCTAAATAAGGAATGGGACCACTCACAGGAAATAAGATGTCATATAAAAAGGAGAGAGCTGTTTTCAATCACCTTAGGAACATTTTATGTAATATGCACCTGAACATTGATATAACAACACGAGTCTTAATATGCTATGTATTTTCAACCCTTTTACACGGAGTCGAAGCCTGGACTTTGACGGAGGCAACATCCAAACGATTAGAAGCCTTCGAAATGTGGTGTTACCGCCGCATGCTCAGAATTTCCTATATCCATCATGTTACAAACAAAACCATGATCCAACGTATGAATAAAGATCTGGAAATTATGCGAAAATCAGAAAGATGACATACTTAGGGCATGTGATGATCAAATAATTCAACTAATTTTACAAGGAACGATAGAAGGCAAAGGATCTCAAGGGCGCAGAAGGACATCGTGATTGAAGAACATCAGACAGTGACAGTGAGGCAGGAATGGCTACCATACATCTATTTAGAGCAGCTGTCAACAAAGTTGTATGGACCAACGTGACTGCCAACATCCACAGAGGATAGGCACCAAAAGAAGAAGACCAGGAACCAGATATCGTAGATATCTGGTTATTAATAGTCTGAGGTGGATAAGCCATGTAATGAGGATAGAACAAAATAAACCAGCTAGAAAAACGCTCCTTGATAGACCCATTGGTCATAGAAGAAAAGGAAGAGCCAGAAGAAGATTTCTTGATAACATCAATGAAGACATGAGAAATATAGGAATACGTTCTTAGCTGAGGAAGGCGATGGATAGGACTGGACTTTAGAGAAACTCTTTGGGAGGCTAGTACCCACGCAGGGTTGTAAAGTTACATTGATGATGAATTGTCAACGTTTCTTCGATATGTCAAAGCTCAACTGGGACTGTATTACCGCTGATGCTGATAATAATATTCCCCGTATTTGATATTATATAAGAAAAATAATTAAAAACGGCTGGTTTTACAATATGCTAACTTTCCCGATTTTATCGGCCTATATAACAATTAATTAGATCAAAATACACATACACACAGCACATGGCATTGTGCCACTGTGCTGTGTTTTAGTGCCACATAAAGGCTGCGGATAATCACTAGCTACTGCTCTGACAGTCTTTAAATATATAATTTACAACACAATTTTACACTTTTTTCATTTTTAAAATTTTACAGCACCATATATGCCATATAGTCTTAAGATAAGTAAAGCAATATTAATATCAATAATAATGAAATATATTTCGTAATACACAATCAACTGTATAAGAAAATGCAATAATCAGATGGACATTTTAGTATTTTAGAAAGCCGCCATATATATCCTATACATTTGCAGCTCCCTTGGAGCACGTGAAGTAAAAAAATTGGTCTAATCAAAAAAGGCCTAAGCTATGATTGATTTTGGTGGTATTCTGGTCTACCTGCTAGCTGAAGTAAATATCTATCTGGATGGTCCAACCAGTCAGATGCGCTTAATTTCACAACGCGTTGTTTTTCCGCTTCCTTCATTTCCCATTTTTTAACTTCCAGTTGTCGTTCCCTACTCACCTGATCTCCACAACCCCATACTTCTATACATTCCAGATAATAAGGAATTTTTTGCCACTCAATCTAGACAAAAATTTACGAATTATTGAGGAAATAAAAAACCAAAGTCAAACAAAAAATACATGAATCAAATAAAAGCAGATTTACTGCAATTACTTTGCAGCAATTTTCTTGTGCCCTGTATAAAGTTTAAATTCGGCGTCTTACATTTATGTATTCAAATGAAATCTTTTTATAAACATCTCATAATCTTCATAGAAAAACACATTAGTTTCTATTCAAATAAACAAAATTTAAATGTTTATTTTCAAATTACCTTGGGTAAAATGTTTCTAGAATTGAGTCTCACAAATAAGAACTGTTTTATTTGTGAGTAAACGTTTACATTTGTCAAGATACCTCTACGAAGATCCACCGCCTCTCGTGGTTAATTCGCCAATTCGTTGCTTCTCTGTTCCGCCCATAGAAATGTTAAAAAGAACTACTGAAAAGAAACAAGATAGACGTAATATCAAAATATAGCGCGCCGGTCGTGCTATTCAAGGTTAAGAGGCGAGACTCTTCACTCCGCCGGCTGAGCGAATTTTTACAGACGAAAAATCACCTGGCATGGCATCTTCAGGGTATCAGGTCATCAGGTGGCGGTCCGTTAGTAAGGCAGTACCGTCTTTTTCACCGATACAGGCGATGTTTTGAAAGCATCTTTGGAGATCATATACATCTTTGGTAGTAGTTTTTAATAATAATAGCAGTCAGTAACATATTATCCGTAAAGTGAAGTATATTGCAAATTAAAAAGTTAAGTTTTTCTTAAGTCAGTGCTGATTAGTTCATCTTTAATGGTGGTGAAAGCACAAATTCGCCGTAAGTTTTTACCTTTTTTTATACCCTGCCACAGCAGTTTCAATCACAATGCTGAATGTTTTCTAACCGATGAAAGAGGAAACATATTTGACATTATTTTTATTTTTCTCTTCTACATCTACCTAGTGCAGTGCAGTGTTAGTGTTTTTTTGAATGGAGTATGTTCCCGTAATTTTTTTTTGCATGTTTTAATCAACATTGTTGGTTTATATCTACAATGCCAAATTTGTATGTAGAATCGATAGCAACAAAAAAAAATTCTCCAACTAGACCAGAGTAATAAGGTAAAAATAAACCCTGTTCGTGACACTCACAAAGACAGGACACTGAAAGATTTTTTTATGGATAAATTTATACAAACACATTCTAACCATATTCTGCGTGAGATTTATTTTTATTTATAAACAAATTAGTGTTAAAAAATATACTGTTTGTCGTTTTTATTTTATCATTGAAAAAGATAATATGAGCATTATCATACATCTTTGAGAGCATTCAAAAAGCTTCAAAATGACGATTTGCAAAAACTTATATACTTATTTGTTGTCTAGATAAATGCAAAAAATGAGCAAAATTTTGAAAAAAATTGATTTATTTACGAGCCCTAACAACTATATAAATGGGACAAATCAAAATATATAACAAATTCAGGCGTTTGATTGTTAATTTATTATGTTTTTTAAAAGTTATGATAATAATAATGAATGAGCAATATTTTAAATGATATAAATCACAGCTGACAATGACAACTATATAATGGGACAGTAAGAAGTAACTGCTAAAATCCACACAACATAGAACAATAATAATTAGAAAAAAATCCACTAGGAAACTAAGTTCCTGTAGCTGGCTGTATACCATATATCACAAAAAATTTACAGAATTTATAAACTCTAGTTTACTCACATTAATTTAAAAAAAAAAAACAAATTTTTCAATGTTTCGAATATATGATTAATTCACATTACAGACTACAAGTTACATGTTACATTATTATAATTTTAAATTTTTTCAATTTTAAATAATGCTGACATCTGTCATTTTTAGACAGCTACCGTAAGTTACACTGACTGCTCTGACACAACATCCGTTCTAACATGTCAACAATGTCATTTTGATCAGTTGTTATCAACAGGTCTTCGAAGACACTTCGTCTCGGGACCATTTTACCTATGTAGGGTCATACGTCGCCATGTTACCAATTCCAACGTAACTTAAACATCATAATTTGTAACCACACATAATGTAAATCAAATGTAAATTTATATCATTTAAAGGGTTTGGACCCATATATTTTGGTGGCTCATAGCATGTATACCTCGTAAGTATTAACCACAATGTTCTTTAACCTTAGTCAACATTTTAAATTCAACGTTCTTTTAATTAAAGTGGTTATTTACTTTCAGGTTTGCACTGATGATGGATTTATTAATCCGAAAACGTTTTGCAATATCTTTGTGATAGCCCGTTTGGGCATTTTATTATATACCTTTTATAAAGGATTTTAAATAAATTTAATAATAATTAGGATGCGAAAACCAGGCAGCCGGACATTCTAACACACGTCAAACTATATTCTACAAATAATTTCTTGTCAAATTTAGTGAATCGCTGTATTATTTCAATAAAATGATTACAAATTAAAAAATTACTGAGTTGGTGTTTTAAAATTATTGCCATAATAAAACAATTCTTGAACTAGGGGATGAAATTAATATTCCTCAAAACTACGGTGTGGAATATAGTTAAGCTTTACGAGGAAACATCATGTATCTTAGATAAAAAAAAGGTAAAATCCGGGTTGTCCAAAACTACACTTAAGTGCAAAATAATCGACTTCAAATTATTTTGCGAAAGTACGTCTCCTGTTTCAATCCGAAAAGTGCAAATTTAAAAATATTTAGAGTACAATCATTAACCTCATTATTGAGTTTTTAAAAAGTTTTGTTTTTTTGTGAATCGGATGACGTATTACAAATAAATAATGCAACACGAAGAGAGGGGGTCAGAATTTGACTCATTGAAATCGACACGCACCGACTTAACGTGTTCGGTTAACATAGTTCGCATCAATTTCCATAGCAACTTACTAATACATCAGTCACTTAAATTCAATTACAAACTGATTGCACATCCGTCAATGCAGCTCACGCGGTCGCATTATTGAGAGAAGGATTGAACGAGAAGGCCGTGGAAAATCGACAAAATTTAAGTCAATCTGCTGTGTTCCGAGTGTACCGTTGGTAACAAAATACTGGTGATTATGTCCGCCGACAAGGAGGAGATCGTAAACGAATAACAACGAAGAGAAAAGATTGATTTCTTGTGTCGAAACTCCTGAGAAATCGATATTTGACTGGTGCTTAACGAAGAGCTTAGAGAGGTCCGAGGTGTGGTTACCAGTGTTTAGACAATCAGAAGGAGACTGAAGGCAGCCAACCTGACACCAAAAAGGGCAGCTACGAGTTCCAAGCTAACTGCAGCCCTTAAGCAGAGGCGTTTAGAATTTGCTAACGAAATTCGACCTATATATAGTCGACGATAGCGTCCGACGCTATTCTCCTAAATAGCAACGACAAGAGAAAATAGCCTATACCTAAATAGAAACGACAAGAGGCGCCGAGTCTATAGAAGACCAGGAGAGCGATTTCATGTTGTATACGAACAATACGAACATATAAATTGTGTCATATAGAGGCGGTTCTTGTATGTTTTGGGCAGTCATTTCCATGGATGGGAAAACCGAATTGGTTTTCGTACCGGGTGGAGGTCATAGAGGAAGTTTAACGACAAATCGTTACATCAGACACATTCTGGATGTGGTTACACATTTTGGATCACAAATGTGGTTACACATCGTTACACATTTTGGATGTGGTTCCATACGCGGGATTTATTAGTAATGCCTTTATTTTAATGCACGACATCATATCGCACGAGTCATCACCACCTATCTGACTGAGAACGGTGTAGTTACAATAAATTGGCCGGCGTTGAGCCCGGACATAAATCCAATAAAGCATGTTTGGGATGAGCTTAAACGAAGGGCCCGGAACAGAAATCATGCATCAAGGAGTATAATGGAATTGAGAGCTGCGCTTAATGATGAATGGGAAGTAATGCCTCAAGAATTTGTTAGAGAAGTCATCCGATCCACGCGAAATCGATTGGAAATTGTAATTAGGAGTAGGAGTGGTAATATCAAATACTGAAAAATAAAAAAATCATTTTGTAAATGATGATTTCTCTATCATAACGTCTTTCTTGCGTTAGTTCAAATGATGAATATTTAGGAAACTCTGCCAAATAATGCAATAGCAGTTTTTGTAAGTTCAATAATAAAGTTATTGTTTGCATATTACTTTTTATTTTCATACTTCTTACATTGAAACAGAAGGTGTAATATCAAATATCGCTTTTGAGTCGATTTTTTGCACTTAAGTGTACTTTCTGATAGGAATAAGGGAATATTAGTAAAAGTTTGCAAAAAAAGTAGAAGAAATACTCTAAGGCAAGTTATAGCTAGATGGAATCATGAAACTGGATTAAATCAGTCAAGGGAATGCTGTCGCAAGTGGAAACATAAATCTGGATTAAAGCTTTATAAGATTGCATTACAGGTAACAAATGTAACTCGTAGTTTATTATGTTTTAAAATATTTTCTTCTGGACAAAGGAAAAACCACGTTTAACAGCAAAACAAAAGAAATCCAGGCTCATTTAAGCAAAATATAAACTTTCTTGGTCGGAAAAAGATTGGTCCCGAATAATTTTTAGTCAAGAATCAAAATTCGACGTAAATATATGTTGACCATTACCAAAAACGAGTTATTCGCAACAAGAATGAAGTTTTTCACAAATACTGTTCGAAATTGACCGTACAATTTTCTAAATGAGTGATGATTTGGGGTTGTAAGTCATTTTCAGAGATAACATGTTTTTAATTTATTGAGGGTACCGTAAATGCTGCGAATTATCAACAAATAATTCAAGATAGCCGGAATTATATTTTTAAACAGGGCGAAGCGGCCTGTCATATGGCCAGAAAACGAGTTTGAAAACCACAATATAAATAGGTCTAACTGGTAAGCAGGTTTTGTATGTTTTCAATAAAATTGATAGTGTGTAAAATAATTTATTCATTAAACTGAGTATACTTTCGACATAATAAATGTCATCATCAGAGCTATCGTCAATTAGGCAATAAATACTTCATAGAAGGAAAATTGTGGACAAACAACATATTAAAAAACAAAGATCGGGCTCTCTAGGCCACAGATCTTGGGTCTAACCCTTATACATATGTATAATTCACATCAAAAACTTTTTTAGAAAAAATGGTTACCACATACAGCGAAGACATTTTTTATGTCGAAAGTATACTCAGCTTAATTAATAAATTATTTTACACACTATCAATTTTATTGAAAACATACAAAACCTGCTTACCAGTTAGACCTATTTAGAAGTGTGTACAAGTCTTACAGTCTTTTTCAATTCACAATATAAATGTCCTTTCTTCCCCCCACACAACAGTCCTGACTTAGATGTCATTAAAACAAGAAAAAAATGTCAGCAAAAATGAAAGAGACAATAACGAATAACCAGTGCCGGATTTAGTTCATGGACCGCCGGGGGCTAAGTCATACTATACCGCCACTCTCCAGTAGGCATAGATGCGTCTTAGGCAAGGAGCTCACCAACGTGGCAATGGCGAACAAGTGTTGTGGTGTCCCAGTGGCAGGTAAAATGTATACACATATGTAGTCGCACGTGCGACCTTTCGATACGTGCGACTACATTATGTTTATAAAGGTTTAAACAATTCTATCTGCCACTGGGACACCACAGCACTCGCTCGGCATTGCCACGCCATTTGGTTGCCACGTTGGTGAGCGCCTTGCCTTAACAATTCATTAAAACTATTTTGATATTATTACGTAATTTATTACAAATATAGAAAAAAGTCACAGAGACACAAACTCACAACTTATAAAGTAAATTAATATAATTATTTACAAACAAATTTTCCTGGACTTCCTACTTGCAAACAGGTCAATGATTTTATTAAAATCTAATTTTGTAAGCAGATCATTATTAATATTGAAAACAGCAACGGAATTTAATGTTTCTTTCTTCCTCGAATTTCTCAAATAATTTTTGACCCGTTTTAAAGTGGAAAATGATCTTTCACCAGTTGCATTTTCATAGATCTTTCTCATACTCAATGAATTTCTTGAAATAAAATTTTTAAGATGTTCTAAATGAACGACTGATCTTTCATGACTGTCACATTTTTCTTTAGCCTTTTTCCAGTCATCAAATCCAGTAAAAAAGAAAAAAGTGCAATTTTCGCTTGAAAAGAGTCGACAATATAAGCAAAATAAAGAGCCTGTGCTTTTGGAATAAACTAAAAAGTCACGCCGAATTTTTTCACCATTCTTTAAAACCTTATAAAATAGTGATTTAGTGCAGTACCTGTTTTGTTTCCCTATTTTTCTTTTTGAATATTCAAAGTCTAAAGAATTAAGATCCTGTGTTTTGAATTCTTTCAGCACTTCATCTACACAATTTCTTGGCCAGAATTTTGGATCTTGTAAATCAACTCGATTAACACCACTTTCGACTCGAATTTGACGTTCAGGAGAACTCTTTTCAGGATGTAACTCGATATCACAAAGTGGGTCTGAATTTGGTGTGGATGAATCATCTCGACGTGATGAAAATCCTGCTGCAAATTTTATTTTATTAAAAAAGTAACTAAAACAGTCAAATAAACCTATCTTCTAAAACATCTGAAACTGTTGCAATTGGATCGTCTTGAAAAAAAAGTGCTCGTTGGTATACTATCTTGCCTGGATTTGGTAAAAAAAAAAGCTGAATCTTGGGGTTTTTTTAATACTGCATTTAATTTTTGCTGCTTTTCTAACTTTTGTCGCTTCCAACATGCACCTCCTTCCTTTCCGCTCATTTTTTAGAAACGTCACGAAAACACTTCACTAATAAAAATAAGTAAAATTTGAGACTAGTCTCGAAACCTGCGCTAACACGACTAACGATTGACGACATATCGTGTTGGAGCCGGACACGCTGTCGCCAGGCGCTGTGGATTTCCCGGAAACATGAAACGTGTTTTTGTGCGACTGCTACTGCAGACACGGATCTTATCGGTGACGAGACGAAGAATATTGTTCTGAAGCTATTTATTTATGGCATCTTACGTAATTTATTACTATTACCATGATATTTCAGAAAATCAACCCCATAAATTTGAAATATCCACATATAGAATTAAAACGCGATGGGGGCGACGTACCGCCTCTCAAAATTTACCGATTTATTTTATTTATCTAATAACCAAAATAGATCAGATTTGCAATAAATTTACCTCTGAACATTGCAGATCCTTAGTCGAGTAAATGCTGAACCGAATTCGAGCGGCCATAAACTCTAATGGCGATGCTACTCAATTTTAAAAATAAATATTCGTTCTATGTCCCAATATTTAGTTGTCCATAAAATAAACACTCTTTATTATTAATTAGTTCTGTTATAGTAAGTATCTTTTGTTTTGTGTTGCTGATTGTTCCTATGTTATTAGTAATTAACTATTTACATAGTAATATATTAAAAAACATGATTAGACAAAAATAAACTGACATTGCCTGAATTTTGCATGTATTTTAGTTTGTCCCATCATACAGTTGATAGGTCTTGTATAACTGCTGCAAAAATTGTTCTAAGACTTTAAATTTTCAAAGCGATTCGTTGAATTGTTTAAATTTTAGTATATTTGTTTATCTCAGAAAGCTGTTTTTTGTAATAAGTAAAAAATGCAGTTTTGCAGAACAATTTTTCGGTTACCATATGAAAGAGTTCATGTTCTTCTTTGAAAATAGTAAAAAAAATTGAAGGAAAAAAAACATTTAATATTGAAAAACAATATTACCAAAATATTCTAATCTTATGCTTATAAATAAAAAGAATAACTTTTTTCCACAAGGAATCTACGTTCCTGTAGTTGGCTGTATACCATATATTAAAAAATTTTAATTAAAAAACCTTTATAAAAGGTATATATTTAAAAACCCTAACGGGCTAATTAAACAAAACGTTTTCGGAATCCATATTCCATCATCAGTGTCTAGGAGTACATGAATGTAGCCACTAAATATACGGGTAAAAACCCGTTAACAAATAATTAGTTACATTTGGTATTTCTTATATTTCTTATATTTATTTCTTATATTTCTTATATATTTCTTATATTTCTTCTTCTTATATATTCTTATAATATGTTAAGATGTTAAAGTTACCGTTGGATAAGGTAACATGGCGACATATGACTCTACGTTGAAGTTGCTCGTCCTGAGACGGTGTGTCTACAAGGACTGTTGCTTCCATATAGTCCTTGTATACACACCGTCTCAGGACTAGCAACTTCAACGTGGAGTCATATGTCGCCATGTTACCTTATCCAACGGTAACTTTAACATCTTAACATATTATAAGAAATATTATATATACCAAATGTAACTAATTATTTGTTAACGGGTTTCTAGACTCCGACAAAGTTAAGTTTGGGAATATGACTCATAAATCGATGATGCGCGATGGTTCTTGTTTACTAGTGTTACCATAGAAACGGCCAGTTTGCTGTTTACCAGTGTCGTAGTTGTGTATCGCAGAGAGTGTTTGACTTGTTGATTTGATCGTGTTGGATATTTTATTATTTTATTTTAGATTAGTGCTTAGTATCATATTGGTAGTAGTAATTAGTGAATTATTAATTTTTTAATAACTTTTTTGTTATCATTCGCCAAATTATTATTTTTACATATTCGGAAGCGTATATTTTTTCAAGAAATTTGAAAGAGAAAAATTTGACTTAAATTCATAGCTTATTTGTTTATCACAATTAAAGAATGTAATTTGTCCCATTTTAATTTGGAATATTCAAAATTTATGTAAAAAAATTTTGGTTCAATTTGCACTTTAGGAGAGTCGTCGGTAAAGCTTCAAAAATGAAGTACAAATGCTGACTTCTTGGAGGGGCAAGGGGGGAAGTATTTCATTTGTGTGCTCCAAAAATAATATAAAATTTTCAGTCACGTGTATCTCCGGAACAGCTCGATGGATTTTAGTGTTTCTTTTTTTAATTTATATCTACTTTTCGCGTACTTTGCGAATATGTAATTTCTTTGTTACTAAATTATTTATTTAACCGTACAATTTGTTTAAAAATGCAAAAAAAAAAGAAATTTTCGAAAACATTCGATTTTTTTATTATATTTTATAACGTATTGTATGTAACTTATTTAAAAGAGAAGTAAGCCGATTGACCACGGTAACTTAAGTACTAAATGTACCCAGAGGCGCAGACCTACATTTGGGGGAGATATTCACGCACCGTGAGAACTCACGTTTAACCTCCAAATGTATTACGAATATTGGAGCAAATAAAAATAAATACCTTTTCAAAGCCGCCGTCGATGCTAATAATTGGAGCTCTAGGATCACTACCTACTCGGAGTCCATGTGGATATCCTCTTACGCTAAAATTCAAATATAACATTTTGGGACCTTTTTCTAATAGTTGAAACCTAAAAACAAAAAGACAAATAAAATATCGCACACTGTTAATTAAATCTGCAAAAGCCAAAATAAAACAAACTATTTTTAACTGATTAAGATAAAGCTGAGTATCCACTATAGAGTGTGGGTCTAAAGTTTCCCCCACCTAGCTTATTATTATATATTAATAAGCTAAACTAAAGTACCCGTTTAATGACTTTATTACGTCTTAATGACTTGAACATTAAAAATGGCAAACGAGCGAAATTATAATATTCTGAATAATAAACTTAAATTAACAATTCTTGAGTAACAGAATTAGAATGCCTGCTCATAGTTTTTGATGGGGTACAGCTACGTAATCATCAAAATTTTTAAATGGGATCATGGCAAGTACTACTCGTCAAATATAGCTCGAGACTTAAATATTTTGCCATCTGCCAAGAAGACTATTTTGTATTATTTTTTGCATCGTAACTGAAAAGTTAAAACAATAATCTTAATTGAATAATTTCGTCTATAAGAATAGAGTAAATGAGTCCGCTAGATGCAAAACTTTGTATTTACTGTATAAGTCAAACTGAGTTATTTGCAAAAAACTGATAAATTTTGCAAAAAAACCTTATGACATAATAAATGGCACTTTTTTGTGATAGATAAATGCTTTATTAGGTAAAATATAATGATTTTTTCTTAGAAAAGTTATTGGGTTTGCTAGAAAAGGAAGAAAAATTTGAAAATACCGAGTTTTGCAAGTGAACTATGTAAATACAGATTGATGCAACTAACATTTGCAAATACATGATAATAGTCAACCATTAACGATATTAGTGGATGTTATATTAGTCTGTTTTCTAAACCTAGTGTGTTAGGAATAAGGAAGAAAGCATGTGGAAGTAAACTTTTAGTGAAGTTTATTTTTATCCAAAGTACAAAAGGTACTACAAATTATAATATGTATATATTTATATTAATTCCTAAACTCGTAAGTTCCTCTGGGTCCCCATCATCAATATGATCATTTTCTGCAGCACTCTCGTTATTATTTGCTTGTACGCCAGTATCTATAATTTTATAAAATTTGAGATCCGGCTGGTCTCTCCAATTTTCACCAAAATGGTTTCTAAGGAGAGTGCCTATGGACGATTTATCTCCTTTCAATGAACATCCAATCTGTTGTAACTTTGGTTTCAATAAAGAAATCTTTTTCCCTTTTCGTATTATAGACTTGCTGAACCCTATGTCAGAACAATAAAATATTTCCCCCCTTACCGTAGCCATATAATCTTTGTCCTTAGAAAATATAAATCGTTTCGTTGCATTACATTTAAAATGCCACTGGGAAGGTTTTTTAACAACGTCACTCGTCTTTCTCCAGTCTGATATCTGCCAGTCTTTACCAAGTCTCAGCACCTTTGAGTGTTTTCCAATTATGTCTTCATATTCTTTTCTGTTTATTACAACGTTCCTTCTTTTTTATCTCCCTTTCTATCATACCGAAAAATCCTATCTGGTGGCAAAAAGGAATGACCAACAACAGGAAACGTAAACTCCACTTCCTTGATGTGACCAGGTGCTTCATAAACCAACCAGTAGATTATCATAGACATCATCGTGCTATTTTTGTTCTGTCCACTAGATCCATCTGCAAATAGGTGAACTTTTTCGATTCGATTTTTAAAGTTGAATATTATGAGAGTATCATGTACAGCAGAGGCAACAGCATTTGAATCTTTTGGATGTTCAAACTCCAGCCACACATATGACGTCACATTTGCAGAAGAAAGATGGGATTTCGAATTTCCAGCCACGATGGTGAAGTTATAAAAATTTATTTGCTGTGAGAAATCAGCCGCCTGGTCGGGAAGCTTTGGCAAAGGAAGATTTTTTTTGACAATCAAAAGAAAATATTTGTATGTTATGATTTGATTCATTTTTTAACAAAGAATAAAAGGCTTTAGCTCTTAACGTATGAACTCTCTGCTCTGTTATAACCTTTAACTTTTCTTCTTCTGAATTTTCTTTTCTCAAAATTTTCTTCGCTCTGAGACACGCAGAACAAGCATCTACTAAATCTACTAACGCGGAGTGCCGAATGATATGTTGTAGTGTTGATTAACGTATGTTCGGAAATATGATAACTATACGGAATGATGTGGATGACGTTGACAATACATTCTGTAAAGCTTTGTAAAATTCAGATCACATGGTAAATACAATCTAGTCGATCGTCCTCTATTATAACGACTCTCTGCACCGTTCAAACGCCCCATAAATGTTTGGATAGATAATTTTATTGAATCAAATCTACCTTTTGTTGTATCTCCCCCTCTTCTCTCTTTTGGTATTTCACCCCGGATAACAAAACGTTCTTACAACACGCTCTATTCTTTCAGAACTTAAATGAGTTATTCCAAGAAATGCTGTCTTGCATACTCTTAAAAGTCCACCCTCTACTGTAGGAACAAAATATTTAATTGAAATTCCATGTAGGTTTGTACCTGATCTCTTGGGCATTTGACCTTCACAAAATTTCAGCAAAAAAATATCTTGTTTTATTTTGTCAGTTGTTGAATACAGATTATTATGGAAACGCTGAATGTCTCGCATCTATAAATCTATACAACAATACACTTTCTTTGTATGGTTACAGGTGAGAAAACCGGGTAAATCCTTAGGTTTATGCCTAAAAATATTGACAATAAGTCCCAAACCTATCTAGTTAATTGTAGACACCTCTTACCTCTTAAGTTTCATTACATTTCGTTTCCATTTTTCTGTTTGTACAACTCGTTTTCTCCCTTTTCCTTTTTCACAAGGTCTAATATGCACATGAAGATCCATAATGTTAATTATTTGCAATAAACTTGGTGTTTTTAGTACTCAAATAACAAACAGTGAAACCGGTAATGGCGAATGATGGAATAATTGACATGTGCACATGAGACGTGTCATGTGACTCAAACAATGTAAGCGATTGGCCAATTGCAATTACACAGTTATGTAACTGGCATAGGCTGACAAATACAGAGTTTTCAAGATTTCTAATGCCTTTTTCTTAGTAAATACCTTACTTTGCTGCTGAATTTCTACATCAGCAGATAGCTATAACACGTGACAAATAACTGTCAGCTAAAACTAAATTTTTACAATTTTTGCAAATACAGAGTTTTGCATCTAGCGGACTCAAATAATGTTTATAAAAAATAATTTAAAGCAATAAACTAAGTTGATTTATGCGTACATCTAATTTTGCTGATAAATTATTGATTTAAGTTTTATTTTCGAAAAATAAGATACCGTAATTGTTTATAATTATTGAAATGAATATTATGACGTTTTGGGTTAAAACTGTGTAATGTCGTTGAAAATAACTTGAAACTAGCTTTCACATGAGGTACTACTTACCATATGATCCCAATTAAAATAATTTATTAAACGTCCGCCATTTTTAATGAAATCTAATAAAACAATTAATAGGTGACTTAGTTAAATTACCAAAAACATTACTTTTTAGTATTCTATTTCAGAAAATATGTTGAGGGAAGACGTATTTCTAACCTTCTCAGCTTCTCTGCCATCAAATAAAAATTAAAATTCAAAAATTGTACCTAAACAATGTACCGATAGGTCTCTATTAAAAACATTTGCACTTACTTTGGTAATAGCTGAAATACGGCACATTCTTCTCCGCCCCAATAGTGGTGTGATTCTCGCCATTCGTTGGGTGACGCGACGCAAAACTTTTGACCATCTTGGACTCGAATAAGAATTAAAGTTGGCCCTTTGTAATTCATCACGTGATGAAGAAAACGGTTCGAACCGAGTCCCATCTCGTCTGAATCGTATAAGATCGACCAGTGGGATGGAATGGAACAAACAAGTTTCGCAAGAAATGACATGTTTGCCAATCCTTAAAAGAAAAAAATTCTACCATAAACTTTATATTATAAATTGTTACTTATAATATAAATTATAAATTAAAATTACTAAGACGAATAATATTTGAAACTTTAACGTTTATAACATTTCAATGTAGATTTAAAACAAATATTATTATATTACATCGGTTTACAACGCTTTCCGATGTCTTCTGAACATTTCAAAAACCATCTCTATCGGCTAATCTCAAGTCCTGCCCCCTTTCTCTCATATCAATTCGTTGACTTCAGCTCATTCTGGGTCGTCATAGTTTTCCTTTTCCTCCTGGTTTCCATTTTAGGACTTGTTTTGAGTTTTACTTCTGCTCGTGTGCTGTACATGTCCGTATCACAATAGCTATTTGTTTTTGATGTTATCTGTCATTCTTTCCCTACTAGGAAACCACTAGTAGGACCACTGTCGGTCTGCTCCAGAAGTACAAAACCTTAATTAAAACCCATATCTTACATTTTTCATCTTCTTGTTTTGGTGCCTATCCTCTGTGGATGTTGGCAATCACGTTGGTCCATAGAACTTTGTTGACAGCTGCTCTAAATAGATGTATGGTAGTCATTCCTGCTCAGTGTCTGATGTTCTTCAACCACGATGTCTTTCTGTGGTCTTGAGATCTTTTGCTTTCTACCTTGCCTTGTAAAATTAGTTGAATTAGTTGATACTTCTCATTGCGCATCACATGCCCTAAGTATGTCATCTTTCTGATTTTCACGATACGCATAATTTCCAGATCTTTATTCATACGTTGGATCACAGTGTTGTTTGTAACATGATGGATATAGGAAATTCTGAGCATGCGGCGGTAGCACCACCAAGACTCATGTTCTTATATCAATGTTCAGGTGCATATTACATAAAATCTTCCTGAGGCGATTAAAGACAGCTCTCGTCTTTTCTATACGACATCTTTTTTCCTGTAAGTGGTCCCATTCCTTATTTAGGCTGCATCCAAGATATGTCATTTTGTCGACTATTTTCAAGGGTTCATTATTAGCTGTGAATTGGTGCTGTATTACGTCGTTTTTACTTACTACAAGAACTTTATTTTTCTTACAGTTTAATTTCATGCCGTATCTGTCACAGGCTTCCACTAAACGGTCTATTAATGTTTGCAGATACTCCGCATTATCAGCAATCAAAACCGTATCATCCGCATATCTTAAATTGTTTATGATTTCACCATGGATTTTTATACCTTCTCTTAAACCAACAATAGCTTCCCTGAACAGTATTTCCGAGTAAGTATTAAACAACGTCGGTGACACAATGCAGTCCAGACTTACTCCCCGCTTTATCGTGAATTCTTGTGAGGTTTCGTTGTCTACTCATACAGTTGCCCTTTGCTGTAAGTATAAATTTTTAATTAGGCGTAAATCTTGGTCATCAATTCTAGATTATTTCAGTATCTGAAATAATTTTTGATGTTGCACCTTGTCAAATGCTTTTTCAAAGTCTATAAAGCATGCGCAGACTTCGCAATTTCCGCCTCGAGCTCTTTGTATCAATGTATTGAAAATAGGGCCTCTCGGGTTTCCAGTCCGCTTCTAAACCCAAACTGAACACTGCTAATGTTTTCTTCAAGTTCTCTATATATGCGAGAGTGAATAAGAGAAAGAAGGATTTTGAGTGCATGGCTCATTAAGCTTATAATTCTGTAATCAGAGCCTCTGGTGGCATTTGCCTTTTTGGGGAGAGGGATGAAGGTGGAAACTAGCCAATCTGTAGAAAATTCTGCAGTTTCATAGATTTTGTTCAGTAGATTCGTTAGGAGTTTGAGTTGGTTGTTTTCAAATAGTTTCAATATTTCAGCTGTGTTATCAGGTCCAGGTGCTTTGTTAGTTTTTAGTTTTTTTATTGCATATGTTACTTCACTGAGCATTATTTCTGGTCCTGAACATCCAGAAACACTGACTTCGGTCTCTCTTTCTATTTTTGTTCATGACATTTCTCATGAACTGAGAAATTATTCTCCGTATTCATCGATAATTATGTCGCGGTTCGTTTGTATTTTCTCCTGTATCTCCAGATTGAAACCTGAAGATCTAACTGGACATTCCATTGCATCTCTCTTTAAATCAATAATATAAATCCACCGTGCGGGAAAACTTTCATTTAAAAATACTCGAACCTGAACAGCATAATGAGGCGGTGCACCATCTTGCAAAACATTATCTAACTATCTAAGATTTTCTAAAATTTCCGGGATCATAGAATAAAATGAGTTACTACATTGAGTTTTTGAGAGTAACTTTCCCTAAACCAATGTGGATTGGGTATTGGATATAATAAAGAAAATTATCAGTGTTTACTTTGCCATTCAGCATAAAGGTGTACTTGTCCGAAAATCAAATATTGACATGATAAGCTAATCACAATTATAGAAACTGGTAATATAGATAATAAGGGCATTAGAATTCTCAACAATCTCTACTATAAATAGCTGTCATAAGAATACAAGAAGCCAATGGTCTCATTTGATAGAAATAAAGCAGCACAATATACGAAAAGAAAAAACTAACACTGCATTTAGTACAATAGGGAATATCTTCAAAAGCTGACATTTGTCCTTGAAAACTAAATGCAACATGTATTTCTGTTTTACTGAAATGAAAGTTTTTGATTTTTTTCGTAATCATCAATAAAAATACTTGAATCAATTGAAATACCACAATACAAGACAATTCTGAAAATTTCTCTGGTTGAGCACATTGCTAACGTGGAAGTATCAAAATAGAGTCTAAGATTTTGAATACAATTAAAACAGACTAATTGGATTGTCTGAGGTTTTATTAGCAACACATAGCGATACGGATCGCTTCGGGTGGTTTTTTCAAGTAAATGTTAACGGTAAAAGAGAACCAGCAAATAGAGAAATTTCCTGGCTGCAAAATCTGAGAACTTCGTTTAACATGACACGGAATTGTCCCTTACAGCAGTCGATAAAGTATGAGTTCCTATGATGGTCGTTAACATCCGGAATAGATAATCACCCTGAGAAGTTTAGTTTTTATTTGATTCTAAAGTTAAAATTGTTTTAAGCATTTCAACGATAGAAGAAACTATAAAATGGATGTCCTAATTAGTGGTAAATATTTTCTAGACTCAAGGAGGATTCGCTACATATCAATAAAAAAATGTAGTATAGTGGTAACTACTTACACATTGCGTACCATGTGTAGAAGCACTTTTTTGTAAATACTTTTTTCATTATATTTAAAGTATTTCATTTCCTTTATCACGTGTTGTTTTTTATTATCTATACATCTCGTATAAAAACATGACCAGCGATACATAACAGGAAGAAGGGGATTAAACATAAAAGTTTTAATTTAAAGATAATCATTCGATATTCAAGTGTCCAATATTTGAATAAATCAATTGTTTTAAATAAGAATCTCTGATATTAAAAATACTTTATTCATAATCATTAAAATATAATCAATATGGATTTTAATATTGCTACAAAATTAATTTCTTACGAAATTATAAATATACTTTCAGTTTTTTTACTAAACAATAAAAAATTTCTATATATATATTTTGACGCAATATTTAATATAACGCATTGAAAAAAAAAACGCATTTAAAGCGCGACTTAGAATAAGCTTTCCTTTTTGGATGGTTGATCACTTCGACACAAGAAATTCGTACTAAATAGTAAAATCATAAAAAAAGATAATAAAATAATAATAATATCGTATGGTACTTTTGCTTTCGGATCTCTCCAAAGGGGGGCCAACAACTTTACGTGTCCTCCGAAACACGGTAACGGCTCTTATAATTTTTAGAAATTGAAAATTTCGTTGTCGGTGCCGAGAAATGAACTCATGCATTCTGGCTTGGTATGCCAGTTTCTGATTATATGATTTCTTTAAAATACAATTTTAAAGAAAATATCGTAGCCCAAAATACGTCCTAAATACATAACCTTGAGGTTATGTTGGGATGTCGCGATATTGCGTCGAGCTTTCGACATCCTCTTAGATGTCTTCTTTAGGGCTTCCGAGGTCTCAGTCTCCCGACCCTTAGACACTTCTACACTGATCACTAATAAATGCATTACTGGTGCTGGGAATAGAGGAAGGTCATTTATACCGTCGACAGTGACGTAGTTTGGCTGGAGGTTGGCGTAGGGATTGGCGCGAACATTTCTGACAGTAGGATTTTGATTGACAGGTGGAGCGAATGGTATTTTCTTTATGAAGGTAACTGTATGCAGTGATCTCTTTGATTGAGACAATTTTGCCTTTTTTCAATTTCTATGGCTTCTCCGATAATCTTTGATTTACAGAAACGGATGGGGGCTATGGTTCTTTAGTTTTCAAAATCAATTTTGTGACTTGTATTAAGAAAGTGTTGACTTAGAGCTGAACTTGAGTCGGAATTGCGAACAGAAATGGAATGTTCATAAATTATATTTTGGATTCTACGATTCGTTTGGCCTATATAGGATCGGAGGCAGTCTGCACAAGGAATTTCATAAATTCCGTGTTGTTCATTTGGAATGTTGTAATCCAAAAGCATCCCTTCTTCTTCTTCTGCTAGTGCCTATCCCCAATGGATGTTGGCTACCATAATGGCCCATCGTATTTTATTAGCAGCTGTTCGAAATAGGTCTGTGGTGGTCATACCTGTCCACTGTCTCAATTCTTAAGCCAGGATATTCGGCGGCGTCCTGGTCCTCTATTTCCTTCTATTTTCCGTTCTAATATCAATAGTAGGATTCTATATTTATTTTCATTTCTCACTATATGTCCAAAGTATGCTAACTTTCTCCCTTTAGTGGATTTCAAGACTTCAGATTCTTATATATATATATATATATATATATATATATATATATATATATATATATATATATATATATATATATGAAAGTAAAAGATTGCATTTCATTTCAATCGGAACTCCACCATAGCCCAACACGTGTTTCGGGTTATTCAACCCATCGTCAGGAGCTCTTGTGGAGGTTCAACTGAAATGGTTCAAACCGATTGAAATGAAATGCAATCTTTTACTTTCATTTAAACGTCTTTCTCTACGTAAAGAGCGAAAAAAGATGGTAAATTTCAAGGTGAATCGTAGATGCATGTCGAAGTAAAAATGTACTTCTAGCGTCGTTAAAAGCCTCAAGAGGCTTTGAATTTGCGGTTCACCTAATTTGCTATCAGAGAGGTCTCTCGACTTCTTATTATTATTATATATATATATATTTATATATATATAATATATTATATATATATATATATATACAACATAACAAGGTTTAAATGTATTTTAGGTTTATTTATTTTCTTTAAAATTGTATCTTAAACAAATCAGATAATCAGGAGAGTTACTTGTCAGTAATGTAATAAAATTCATAAACAAGATCATTTAAAGTCAAACCATTATCGTCACGTCATTCAGCATTATGATGCCGTATATTTTTGTTACTCCATGACTTATCGCAACTACTATTTTTTTTTTTTCGATAACTGTATATTTACAACCAACTATCAGCGTTTCTCTAGTACTGTTTACTCTAGAGTTTTAAAGTTCTTTAGTCATATCCATCGAAGTGATCATATAATGGAGCAGTTGGTGGTTCAAGGAAGGCCTCTGAGGTAACGCCAATGTGGCACATCTCGTGACAGTCATTACGAAAAAACAGTATACTGAGACAGTACATGAGATGACCGCGACCAGTGGAGAAATATTATTAATCAAACGATCCGAGCTGATGGAGGATGACATTTACAAATATAAAATATATCAAATGTTCTTTTATTGAGTAAATATATCAAATTGAATTTTAGCGCCATTAGAAGAACAAGACTATTACTACTATTTATTAAGAATATTTAGCGAACAATACGAAAAAAAAACCTTTGGTTTTACAATGTGAAGGTATCAAGTTAGCCACTATACTGTTGGATTGATGGTAGTAGCACTTTGACAATGCTACTAACTGCATTAAAAGAGACACATTTTTAAAATGTTAGAATACATATTTTTTTCAATATTCGATAAAGTTGAAAAGAAGGTGGGTACCTCCTACCCTAATTAGTGTTCAATATACCCACGTATCGAGTTTGGACTGATTTTGTTTCTAACTCCTATGAACCTCCAGGAGTTGAGGTTCCTCACGAGATCAACCCTAAGCATCAGGTACCATACATACCCGTCATACATACATCGCCGTCACGATATTCATGTTCAGTAACGACAAAAACTCTCGACGATCGAGTTTGCACTGATTTTCTATCGATTCATCATAAAACTCCAGAATACGACACCCGTCCTGGACACCAGATGCCGCCTCGCAGACCATCTTCGACATGATATTAGTGTTAAGCGACCATAAAACCCCCGAGTAACAAGTTTGCACTGATTTTGTATGTAAATGCCATAAAACGCCAGTAGACGAGTCTTATCCTGAACACCAATGGCATCGGAGACCATCGTCGTTATGATATTCGTGTTCAGCGACCCCAAAAACCCCAGAATACTAATATTGAACTCATTTCCGTCAATTATTTCTAAATTACAAACTTATAATTTTTTATCACTTCGAAAAGCACTTTGAATTATGCAACTTTCTTTTCCACATCATCACTTTAGTTCACAAAATTTCCTAACATTTTTACGAATTGAATGTTTCAATAAAATATAAAAACCGTACCACTGATCACAACAACGAACTGATAAATAATTCACCCAACCACTCGCCGAGAGAAAACTGAAGAGAGTATGGCCAGAAGACCTACCGCAATATTACTTAGAAAACCTAACTAACGGTATCTAACTCCGTTAATTTACTTATAGACTATTTACTTATCACTCTATGTATAGAGTAGATTGTAAACATGCATTTTAACAAATTAAACTTACCAACTCCACTGTTGCTGGGAGAATGAGCCTTCTGTGGTCTTGAATACAGAGGAGGTAACGCCCCAGCAAGTAGCCAGGACATGCTCATGGTCAGCAAATGAGGATGTGGTTTAGCTTGAGGAAACGGATTTGCTTCTTCTAATACGGGTGTGGCCAATTCTATACCTAGAAATAGATGTTTTTTTGCAAATATTTATTTTAAGCAATTGAATAGTTAACGAAAAAAAGCTATGCAACAATTTGGTAAAGCTATAACACTTACAACGATGCGCCTGTAGAAAATTAAAAAACAATTGAATGAATAATGGATCAAAACCTTTGGCATCTATACAAATATTTAATCTATTGTATTTTACTGTTTAAATAAATAGTGAGTTATCACTTCAAAAAACAGTTTCCAAAGATTTTTTGGTTAACAATTTTTAAACTTAGAATGACGTATACACTGTAAGCAACTAAAATGCTATATATAAAAGAAGCATTTGCATCTAACGTCACGACAACACCTGTTATTTTTAGTTACCTGAGTATGGAGGAATTTCACAGTGATCACCTAAGAAAAATTTAAATATTTAGTCATTGTCATTAGTAGAAAGTGTATGACATCAAGTTAAAAATAAAAACTAATAAGCAAAATGAAAGAGAATATAATGACAGGAAAAATAAAAATTAAATATCAAGTTTATTAAAAAAACATTGAAGAACAAAAAAGGCAGTAGCTAAAGAAAGGGATGAATGATTAGTGAACACAACATCAACTACTGTTTACCTGTCATCTGTGGCTTTTCACGAGAATCACCTGAGAAAATTAATAACACATTTCAATACCACATTTTAATTCATAAAAAATGTGAAAACATACATTAAGTGTTCTGTACATTGGCAATAAATTTATAAAAATAACCTTTTTAAAATATACACTTAGTTTCAACACATGTATTCATTATTCATTAATTATAAATTAATATACATATAAGTAATCATTCACTAAATTACTCGAAAAATGATGTTTGTCAAAAATTCTCAAAATAAATGAAGACATTATTTACTATAGGATTTTTTAATCTTGGGAAACACAATTTGATTATTTAATATTCAATCCCCAATCTGTTGGAAGGTGAGTTGCCAGCTTTACCTATATTTTATAAAGCAATATAATAGTGGATGATAAATAATAATGATCAAAAACTAATTTTTATTTGATATGAGACAGAGCTAAGTCTAACTATGTCATGTAAAAGGATCTAACATAATAGAAATGGGTTTCTACATTTATTTTTATAGACAGACATAGTCATGCATTAGTGTCAAATGATTAATTAGTCATATGTCTTTAAAATTTGCAAGAAACAAAAAAAAATCAGAGATCATCTGCACAATTTTTATCTGAAACATATTTAAAAATATTCTATACTCAGTGTATATATTTTATATATTTATGTTATAACTGTTTTCGTGAAGAAGTTTTACTAATAATTTCTATCTTAAATGGAAAAATCTGTTGAACTGCCCCTAATTTAATAATATCTTTTTGAATGGTTATTATTATCTATCCATATAGATAATATTAGTTTCTTTCCTTCACCAAACAAAGCTTTTATTCTGATAGATAGTCCAAATAAAATCTAAAATATTGTGCCAACTGTATAATCTTTAGTTCAGTTAATGGATTAAGTCTACAGTAAAAAACACTACAGCACACACACCTGTATAATCTTATTTTAGCCAAATAGTATGATTTTTTATTTTGATTGGAGAATTCTCGGATTTTCGATAGCTGATTTCCCTCCAACACATAATTTCATCTTTTTCCATTAATTGAGGACTCAATTATGTTTTCCAGCTAAAAGTTTCAAGCCTTTCTAAAGATGCTTTTGCTTGTTTCATGGTTTCACCTTTTCCTTCACATTTAAGCCTGTAGATTGACAATTTCAAGGTGATCTTTAAATATATTTCAATATACAATCAACACTTGACTATTGATGGTGAACCAAGGATGACAAATTCTTTAATAGTTTTAAAGATTTAATCATTATCAGGTTCATTTTCAATTCTTGATGAATACAAAATTTTAATAATTTGTGTTGAAAAATATAACAATATTTCTTGGCATTTTCCTATAAATGTTAAAATCTAAAATTTAGAATAATAATTCTAGTGTTGTGTCAATCATTCATTTTACAAGGACTGCATCAATCAGTGACCGACTCTGTCGCTGACTCTGAATACTTTTCATTGCTGTTTAAAACACATAACAAGTTACCAATTGATTGAACTGAATCAACTGAAAAATGGTAGTATTGCTTACCATATCTCATATATGTGTATTCACCTTCATTGTCCTTCATACATTTATGTTAGTGCAAGTAGGGCTTAGCTTAGATTCTAGAAGAAATATTCGAGAAGCTAGAATTTTTTGTTTTTAGGTTCTTAGTGTAACAGAAATAATTATAAATTTATATGGAAATATCTGCTGCATCCAAATGTAAAAATTTATTGGCATTGTGCAAATATTAAACTTGAGATATTTTATGATTTGACCTACCTAATAACTATTAACAACACAAGCGAAAGCCATCGCTTGGGCCCGATAGAATATTTTCCAACTCCAATACTCCTGGTCTGTAGCTAAGCCGCTGAAATTAGCTACAGACTGTAGGACTATAAGTGAGGAATGACCGAGGACCGAAAGTAATGAGAGTATTGGCTGTGCGATTTTGTTTTGGTTCAATTTCAGTCGGCACTGTCGGCGGTCGACCAATAGATTTTTGTCACCATACAATTCGATCATTATGAACTAATGGAATTCAGTCGTTCAATACTTTGAAGTGATTGAATCAAAACGAACGAATCAATCACTATCGATACAAAACTAAATGATTCTATTAAGTATTGCTTATTTCAGGAGGTCTATTGTTTTTTTAATATTTTTTTGCATTTCTGCTCTAGACCATAACTTGCTGAGTTTAGATTCTAGATAATATTTGTAACTTATTTCACGTCTATCAATGATCTATATTTCATCATATTTAGTGTTTAAATTCAATTCTGCTTATGTTTGTGTTCTAAATCCAAAGTTTTTACCTAATGAATAAAGGTAATTTGTATAATACTTACACTAATAACAATTATATGTTAAAACATGTATGAACTTACCACTGGCAAGACTATGCTCACATTCTTCTAAAGTTCTCCATGATGTTGCCAAACAATGAACAGCATATCTATGAAGAGGAAATAGTAATCTGGGTATATTAAGTTCGATCCAATGAGTAACAAACTGTACTGACAATTGTTTCTTACTGTGGAAACAACTATCAACTACTGCTTTTAGTGTTTTATTGGAAGCAAGGCACATTTGTGGACCTTCTGAATAATGGTCCATACTTATGTGGTAGGTACACATTAACAAACATCTCATTTCATCTGGAGTCATTATATCACCTCCTGTTTCTTGGTTTGAAACTGCCCACATTTTAACTAGAGTTTCTCTTACTTTATCATCATCCATAATCTAAAATAAATGTATGCTAAGTTTATTTATTTATGTAAATATTAAAAGAGTGGACTAAGAGTGCAGTGCATAACGAAAAATAAGATAAATGCAGCCATGACTGGTTACCATTTAAAAAGGTTATAAAATGAGGCATCTAACAAAATGTTTGTCATTTTAAAATTTGGCAGCCCCAAAAAAGCAATCACATTCATTACAATACAGATTGACTAGTCTAGATAAAATGACTAGCCAATAAAATTTTGAAAATTATCTGTTATTGCAGTTTGTGTTGAATCCTCGAAGATGTTGGATATATGTGTTATAAAAAGGATACTAAATATATGAGCCATACTGTAGATGTGGGCATAAGTGAATTATATAAAATGCAAATTTTAGGATTACTCTAAAAATCTTTTGAACATCTTTTGTTAAAACCTAGCATATAAAATACTTTAATAGTACACTAGCAATGTGAGGCAAGACAGTTAAGAAACTGTTTACAGTCACATTGATTCCTGATAGGTGATACTAATTCCACTGTAATTATATTATATATGTGTTGAGCATAATTGAAATATATGTACTTTTAGTAAAACACACTTCTTGGGTAACATTTCTTAATATTCAAATCCATACTGTTTAGATTTACAGATTAAAGATTAAGACAATCATTAATAGATGTAACTTTTAAGAATCAGTGATCCAGAAGAAGCCACTATAAACTATAACAAAAAAAAGCAATACAAAACATAAAAAATATAAATGTTAAACAACAGTGACTCTAAGTAAGATTCATATGGCACACCAAACATCACTAGTACTTCTCCGGATTTAAAGTCAGGAACTATAAAAATCTGTATGCCATGAGTCAAGTAGGAATTACACCATTTGAACCATGGAACCTCTTCCTATGCATCTAATAAATCAGAAAAAGTAGGTTAATTTTGTTAAAAGCTTTGGAAAAAAACAGTGAAATGTGAATGGAATTGGTACCTCTTGTAGGCTAAGTATATTAAAAATATATTAAATAAATTATTAAACATGATTTAAATACTAATAGTATAGTGCGTGCAAGTACTCCTGACCATGGCGCAGTAGACAAAATTTGGTTTAATCCCCACTTCCATGTGAAACTCATTGTACTATGCACTGTATAATTCCACTTACAATAGAACCTTTCTGCCTTTACCTGAATTTGACTCCGCCTTCACGCAGCTTCATGGTCAGAAGTGCTTGATCTTAAAAAAAAAACTATGGTAAAAAGCGACAAAGAACTGTTAGGCCCCTTTGAAAGAAGAATAGTTACGACACATATATGGAGGAGTACAAGAAAGCGGGATATGGCGCAGGCGCTATAATTTTGAGTTGTATCAATTGTATGAAAAATGCAACATCATGTGGTCTATTAAAATTAATTGACTAAGGTGGCTAGGACACCTTGAAAGAATGGACACTGGAGACCCCCATCGACAGATATTATATCAAGAGCCAGTAGGAACCAGGAAGAGAGGCAGGCCAAGATCTAGATTTAAAATTCAAGTTGAAGATGACTTGAGGAATCTAGGGGTCAGAAAATTGGAAGGCCAGGGCGAAAGATAGGGGGATTGGAGACAATTCTTGAACGGCCAAGACCCACCCAGGGTTGTAGAGCCAAAGATGATGATGATAGTGTATGCTTCCTTCATAAGTAAGATTTTTGCTATATTAGCTACTTATTATGAAACTAATGTTAAATAACAAAGATATTTTTTTCGTAATACTGAAGCTATTATTTTTCTTTTGTTATAATGTAATGTAATGAAAGCGTGTGGCTACTAATGGACCAGAACCTTAAAAAGATTGCAAAACTGAGATATCAACTGTAAAAATATTATTTATCTTTTAATTTGTTAAATATACTTACACCTAAATACACTTCACACTGTTGTTTGAATGCATTTTGTGACATATAACTATTCTTGGATTTGCTATGTCTAAGAAAGTGATCATAGAGTTTCCCTCCCAAGACCTGGTATCTTGGGAACAAAATCTCTGAAAAAATTATTGTTACTGTTTAACAACAATATAACATTAATGCTAATTAGTCTTACAGTGAAAACGTCTTTGGTAATGCCATTGACACCCTCTAGTTTTTGAGATTTTTCTGCCAGAATCTGAAACATATTCCATAGATGTCATGTCCTTGAAAGCTAAGTTAAATAGTAAATATAGTAAACATTTACATAATTTCACGTTTTTATCATATTACTTCCTTTAAATTGCGAGCTAAGTATTAATTTATTATGTACATAAGATAAGCATAACGTCACCTTTGCTAATTTTTCTACAGGTTGCATTGGGCTAGGAGTTTCTTGAATATCTCCACCAGAACTTGTCCTGGTGATACTCTTCCTGGAGCCGTTATAAGAACTGGCCACTGAATTTGGAGTAGCTGTACCTGATTTAGACCCATGACCGTGGTTGTTTCCCATGTTTTCAATTTATGTTTTAAATCCACATTCTTTAAAAACAACTAAACATTTAATAATCCCATGCCAGCTGACATTTGATTGTGTATCCCCTTACTCCTTCCATAAATAATTCATTTTCTTAAATCATAAGTCATATTTCATATTCCATAATCCTAGTTGTATTCACAGCATATAATCGTTATATTTGAAAAAATTACTAATAAAACAAAAACCTATTATCTGCAAATCATTATATTGTAATTATCTATTATTACTTATATAATTAATAGTTCTTATTAAACAAAAATTTTATATTCTTTGCAAACAATAATTAACTTTTAATAAATAACACCTTAAGTATTTATAATTTTCTTAATTTATGAGCTAAATGTAGACACACCTCGAAGTTATAAAAAAATTACTGCACTAAAATAATAATATGTCTGTGAGTATTATTTGCAATATAAAATCTGAACACATCCTAATAAAATATTTTACTATGTGTTCTGTGATTCAAACGGCATAGAGTCATGTCAAGATGATAGTTGACACTTATGATATCTACTTGACAGAAGAACTTAAGAAATTATTGACAACAAATATATCAATAATATCAAATGATATTTTTTCAAAATATTAGTGATTAGTTAACACTAATGTCTGGCTACAAACGAGTTAGCTTTTATGAACTGTGTAGATTATGCGCATCAAATACACAAAAAGAAAAGACACATATTTTCAACGAAGAAGGAAGAAAAATCCAACTTCAAGATAAAATTCAAGCTTGCTTGGCCTTAACAGCAAGTGCTTTCTGTTTAATAAAATACTCTCTATTTAATTTGTATCTTTGTAGGTTAATGAAGATGATTCTTTGCCAAAAGTTGTTTGTTCAAAATGTTTGCGAACTCTTGAAACCTGCTTTGGATTTAGACAAGAATGTGTCCGCTCTGAGTCTATGCTATCTACATATTTTAAAAATTTCAGGTAAATCTATCGTTATACAATAATACTCAATGACATATAAAGATTAATTTTTCACAACCATTTTATCTAACAAAACAATGCCTCAAAAGAAAATCATTTGCATTTTCAAAACTAAGTGTTACTAAGGGACAATTCCACTGTAGTGCCATTTAGGCAGCATGATTTATTAGTGTACACTACTGCAACTTCTCCCACTGTAGACTGTAGAAACATGGAGCTACAAGAATAATGCTGCTTAATTTTGTGGCAAAAAGTTGTACACCCCAAAACAGGCAACACTATGAAGCATGTATGACTGCCACCTAAGTGGAATTATGAATATCTTCCTTAGCTAGTTCATTTCTTTAGTTTGCATATTTAACTAATTTCTTGAAAAGGTAAATATATTTGAGATTTTACCACTGCAATGAGTTACTACTGAGCTGAATTTTTATTGAATATCACTGACAAATTGGGTGAATCTGATCTGTATTAACTTGTATCTTAATCTTGTTTCTGCATTGTTGAAAAACTAATTATTATTTTGTCATTATAAATCTAGTTTTAGATTTATATTCAACTATATTATTTATCTATGATTTATATTGCTTTGTAGTCAAGAGTGAAATATATTTTATTAATATTTTATAGAGTATAGAATCTTTAACTCTAGCCTTATTTTAATTTAAATTAAGTCGTCATTTTCATACTGCATTTTTTTCTCTTTTGTGTTTTTCTTCCTGGTCTATACATTAAGTAATTTGCTTGATGAGTTTGTTTATAATATTGTATTTGTTATTATTTCTTTTCTTTTTTTTATCTTTTTTGTCCAATTGTCATTTTTTCTTTATTGATTTCTTCATCATTTAAGCCAAGTTTGTATGCCAGTGACCATGTGTTTACATAGTCTTGCAACTGCTGGCGTCAGGTTAGAAGGGACATGAATGAGGGCAACTGGCATGGAAAATAGACCAGCTTTCTATTCTAGAAAGTTCTAGTCTGGTACAAAAAAGTGGTTATATGATGCCACTGTCATACCATTGCGCCTGGTGCCAGTTACTGGATACATGTAAACCTGCCTTTATGCTGAGCTTTCTGTTAGTCATTACTGAGTATACTGACTATTCTATCATATTTATAAGGCTAAAAGCTATAGCATATATTCTTCATTTTCTTATGGTATTAGATCTTTGTCTTTCTATTTCTGATAATATTCCCTTTTTAATTTCTTTCCTTTAATTCTAGTAACCTAGGTTTTACTTGCTCCATCTCTGAATGTAATCTGTCTTGTTAATATTGTGACATCTTGAATAGATTCATCAACAGCAGTGCCTTGCTATCTCATTTGGACTAATATACATGCCCAGGGGATTTCAGCAGATCAACTATGTATAAGCTCTCCACCAATGCCCAATAGACATTCTATTTTGCCCTTGTAAACCTAGGTAGCCATGGAAAATACAGTTACTCTGTAGTAATAGGTTCCATCATTCAGTGACAGACAGGTAATAGGTTCCAGTAACCTATTACTTTTGTTGCCTATTACCCAAGCTGCAAGCAGCTCCATTCCGCTTGGCTTGCTATAGTTTCTTGTAGTAATCATATCTTTTTCAATAAACGAATACTTTCTACTGTTTAACATTAAACATATACAGCTGACAGAGGCTTAAAATTAAAAAACGGTGACATCTAGATTTGTGGATTCATTTTCACCAGGTGGAGGTAAAGTAACAGTTAGTTGGATGTTTCCGTAATAAATGTTTCCTAAGATTTGAGACAGTAGTTTTATAGCTTTGCGATTGCCCAAATAAATCACATGTAGCAATTGTATTCACTTTATCAGTAATATTAAAGTAAGACCACACAATAACTTGAAGTCTTTTGTCTTTTGCTTATTGTGATTTTAAACAAAACAAATAAAAATAACCAAAAGTAATTAACCACTTTACAATAAACTACTTACTATTATTAACATACAGTCACTTGAGAATTTTTTTTGCATTACCTATAAACAACTACATAAGAGCAAGCAAATTCTAATACCATAATAACAATAAACATAGTTTCCGTCTTAATTATCGTACATGCTATGGTAGTATTCCCAGCTATATTAAGTGGCAAAACATAAAGCTCATATAAATTCGGGTGACAATGACCATTCCTATTCTATTACAGATTGAGCGAACCATTGATTTCCATCGTTCGATATTGTCACGTCAACAATTGAATGCAGATTCGAAATACCATTGTGTTTTACGTTATAGTTCCACTGTGACAAAAGTAATAGGCAGTTTGCTGTAACCCATTAATGAGAAAACGAATACTTATTGGTAATAGTGTTATTTATCCAAATACATTATATAACGATAATCTTTAAACCCAGGGTTCTTGTATCAAAACTACATTAAACCTTCTGTTGACAATACCCAGTGCTACCAAAATTATTTTAAGTACTATTCTGGGGATTCATCTATTGAACTCTGATTGTTGTCAGTCAGACCTCTGATGGTCTTGAAAGACAGCTTTCCAAGTCTGTAGCATATCTTGAAATGGAAAGTTTGTAATATTTTCCAGGAGACCACATTAACTGAAAACACAATCGTTTTTCCAATCTCTCCTCCCTTTTAACTTTTCTATAAGCAGTTTTCCATCCTTATTCTTAGGTTTTGCTTCTCTAAGCAGGTGCTAATTATTGCTCTTCAGTTTCCTTCTTAGAGACATGGGTGAGGACTATGCATATCTTTGAGCTTAAATACAGATAAGTTTGTTGTCTCACAGGTCCTTCATAGCCCTCACAATATCCACAATCCATTTTTGGTGTACTCCTTGGCACAGTTCACCCACAGCGCCCTATGCTAAATATTGGTTAATTAGACTGTAGTGGATTCTGACTTCTGTTAGAAGCCTCATTCTCTGATTTTTGGATTTGTTGTGTAGAATACCTTTGTGTGGAATGGGATGAGAACACTTAACAAATGAAATCCTAAAAAATATTCCAAGAGTTGAATAAGAAGGGCAAATTCCTGAAAAATGAAATATTGGTTCCCTGAGAATTGAGATACGAAAGTGCTGGCTTGTCTCTTTTTTAACATTGTGGCCTTAACACTAAGGAGATGTTTCCTGATTATTGTCTAATCGTCATCTAAAGCAAAACAAAGTTCTTGGTACCAGAGAGTGACTACAGAATCAGAAACATTGGACAAAACTTTAACATTGGTAACTATACACTTTTGAATTGGTGCAACAGTTCTCAACATAATATCAGAAGAGATAAACCAAAGAATAACACTTGTAAATAGAAGTTATTATGGACTTATCAAACACTCTATATTTCCTGGTCTAATGTATGGATTTGAGGCACAGATGCTTTCTAATACAGATAAAAACAGAATATTACTATTTGGGATAAAACTATTAGGCCAATAAATGGTACTGTAACTTGGCATTGTAGATATAATTTCAAGCTATGCAATAATTACAAACAAAATAGCTTAGCTCTTTTGAGCAATTGTTAGTAGAACTAAGTCATCCACATATAACAACAATAATTATAGTCATTGAATTTATTTTTAAGCAACCACCTAATAAATTATAGTGGTTATTCAGGAACAGTACAAAAAGGAAGGGACTTAACAGGCACCCCTATCTCACCACTACATTTTATTTCAACCAATCAAATTTACCTTCCCATATTACTGATTTCATGTTTGTGAACAAGCACTTCAATAAAATGAAGTTAGAAATTTTAAGTGGCTTGTAAAAAAGGGTGTTTTCACTGGACATTGCTGACTCAGATTATCATCTCTGTATAAATAATGGAGGGAGAGAGAGAGAAAATGTTAGGACATGGCTGAACATTGTCTGTAACTATAGGGCAATTGTTCACAAATGTCATAAGTACCTGGAACAGGTCTTTTTAAATCATAACAGGTAACAAAATATCTCTCCTAAACAGATGATAGGCTTTCTTAGTGGCCTAGATTTGTTACAGTATGTAGAAGTAATCCAGCCAATTGGCTGGACTACTGTTCCAGTAGGATCAGATTTATGATCCAGCCGGAATATGAAAATTTTTAAAATATGTTATATCAATAAATAAGTCAACAAATTTATTAAATTCATTTTACATAAAAAATATTATTTTAAATAAACTTACATTTTCTAAAAATAAACATTAAAGCTTAAATAACATTTTATAATAAAAAAACAAACATAAGGAACAAGAGAATTAAGACTATTAAGAGATATGTTTTATAAGCCAAGGTATATACAAAAAATGTATACCAACACTGAATATTCATTTATTATATTTAGATTGTGGGGTATAAATAAGAGCTTTTCTGTATTTTCAGAAGGCAGTCAATGCCTATTGTCAACATATTTATTACCAATTTGTGAAAATGTTCTATCTAGAGTGTCAGCTCCACTACTAAGTTATGTCTCAGTTTTTATCAATAATCGGCATTCTAAACTTCAAGTTAATGGAGTTGGTTGTCTTTTGAATCACTCATAGATGTTAAAAGGTGATACAAAGTCATTGTAGCACTTACACAGTATGAAAGATGAATTTGTTGAAGAATCATTTCTTTTTTTCATTTATTCTCATCATGTTCAACACATGTTTTGGCCAACCTGTTTATAACTAGTTGCAACTCTTTTTCATTGGATGCAATCAGTACCGTATCGTCTGCATATCTGAGATTTTTGGCATCAATCCCTTTCATTTTAATGCCTACATCTTCATCTAAGGCTTTTTTAAAAATAAATTTGGAGTAGATATTAAAATTAGAGGCGATAAAATACACCCCTGCCTCACTCCACGTCGTATTTCCACTGCTTCCGTTCTATTCTGACCAGTTCGTATGTTCGCACATTGATGCCAATACAAATGTTTGATAATATGAAGGTCTTGGTCATCAATTTCCACCTGTTTCAAGATACCTGTCAGTTTGTCGTGGGTGACCGGGCCAAATGCCTTGTTGAAGGCGATAAAACACGAATCAGGACCTGTAAACTGAATAATGATATTTGGTTCCAATATTGTTCTGAAACCAAACTTTGTTTCACTTAGTTGTAGTTCTTGTAAATTCTAGAGTGCAGTATTGTTAAGAATATTTTCAGTACATGGCACATTAGACTGATAGTGCGATGATCGCTACATTGTTTAGCGTATATTTTTTTCGGTATTATTACAAATATTGACAGTAGTCAGTCTCTTGGTATATGCCCTTCGTATGCGTTTCTTATATTTTATTGAATAGGCTTAAAAGAAAAGTTTGCCTTTATCCTTGAGTAGTTTGATTATTTCGCTAGGAATTTCATCTGGACCGGTTGCTTTCCTATTCTTTGATAGTTGTATAACTCTTTCTATTTCATCGAAGGTTATGGTTGGACCAGTCGATATATTTTCGATTTATATTTCTGTTCTTTGGTCATCAAACAGTTCCTCAATGTATTTCCTCCACCTCTCCAGTATGTTTTGTTTAAGTAAACTACTTGAAGTTGACCTATTTGGTTCCAGTTCTTTCTTGCACCTTTTTGTACATATTAAACATGTCATTCTTTTTCTGCAGTTCTTCTATTTCAATACATTTGCTGCTGTGACCATTTTATTTTTTCCATCCTCGAATTTTATTTTTCTGCTCTCGTCTGTTTTTCATTAGTCTCAATATTTTATCAGTCATCTATTGTTGTTTGCGTTTATTATAGTTTTTATACTTTTTGGTTGTTTCTTGCATGATGGTTATGATCTGATTCCAGTGGTCTTCGATATTATGTGTTTCTTCCGATTTGTCGAACTTCTTTTCTATCTAGTGTATGATTGATTACTTGGCTATTATTTCGAATACAGTCAGTGTTTATTCGGTTAGTCGGTTTTTGGCATTTTACTTTTTTAAGTTTGAGTTTGATGTAGCTGATTAATAAGTTATGTTCTGAGGGGACATTTGTTCCAGGTAGTGTTTTAGTTATCTTGATTGAATTTCGGTATCTTTCAGTAATTATTGTTATATAATCGTTCAGATTTCTTATGATTTCGTTAGGATCTGCTGGTGACTTCCAAGTGTATAAACAACGCTTGGGTTAGTTTGAAGAATCTATTTGTCACACATAAATTGACCTCCACACAGAATTCTACCAAAGGATCTCATCTGTCATTGCGTTGTCCAAGTCCGAAATTGCCTACAATGTTTTCTTGTGTATTTTTCCTACTTTGGCATTGAAATCCATCATTATTAAAGTAATGTCTTTATTTTTCAGATGACTTATTATAATCTTTATATTATTATTAAATTTCTCTATGTCATCTTCACTACTGCTCGCTGTGAAAATAAACGCACACTGGCTTTGAGTATAATTGCATCATGATGACTCTTCTGAAATGTAACTTAGTAATAATAAGAAAAAATATGTGTGGAGTGACTGAATAGCCACTTTGATGTTTTCCTTCCATCTTTCCATCTTGTAATTTTTACTTTTTTTTCATATTAGCGTTATTCGCTGGTATATTTGCTAATGTTGTGCTTCTTCCCCATATTTTTGGAATTCCGCTGCTATTTCATTATTCTCCATTCGCTTAGCTAGGGCATATTTTGGACAGACTCATTGTCGGAAACCTAAAACACAACAATTCCTTATTCTCAGTATTAATAGACTCAAGTATCTACTATTGCAGACTTCTTTCTTTGAAAAAAGAAGAATTATTCTAAATAGTGGAAGTGTATACTAAACCCATCAAATTTCCCTGTATATTTAAATATTTACTATTTGAGTTACTACAATTTTATTATTATATTTTGTAGTAATTATTGTTGTTAGTTCTATTTAGTTTATTTAGTTATAGTTCTTTTTTGAATTTTTTTTATTAGGTTAGTCAAAGTTTTCAATTTGTTCTATAGATAATGCGTTGATAAGTTTTTCTTAAATAATATATGATAAATGTTCTTTAAAGTTAATATTTTTAGATGATTAAGGATGCTGTTAAATTAAAGGTAATCAACTGCACAAAAGATTTATTCAAAAACACAACCATTTTTTTATTATTTGCTCATTTGGCGTTAGGTTGGTCACTAAATTATATTTATGAAGTTCTGTAAATATATCCTTAATAACAAAACATTTCAGTTAACATCCATGTATATATAGCATGTATAAAGTTTACTATTATATATAAAATGTATATTATTATAAAATATATTTATAAAAAAGTTACAGTAATTTAGTTTATACCGTTAAGTTGCTCCAAATGTAGGCAAACCAACTTAACTTTTTTGGCATTTAGCTGGAGTTTCTTGAGTAATATTTTTAATAAACGTTTAATATTTCCAGTTAATTTATTATTCTTTAAAGTCATGATAATAATGCTGAATAAGCAATATTTTAAAAATATTTAATCACAAAAGTACTTAATTTATTTTTATAATCTTATAAAGTATGTTTCTAATAGAAATTAGCTAAAATTAAAAAAAAAACTAGTTTATGATAGTAATAATAGAAATTCTAATATTTTTGATGATATTGTATTATCTTTTTGATGCATTAATATTTTTTAATTATAATATATAATATTATATTTTTATCTAACGTACTTTATGAGGATTATATTATATAACACAATTATTAAGTACGTCTTGTGATTATATATCATTTGAATATGGCTTATTCAATATTTTTATCATCACTTTAAAAAATAATAATAAAATTAAATTATTCTCAAGAAACTTCAGCATTAATGCTAACAAAAAAGTTTAAGTTGGTTGCCTATATTTAGGACGTAACCTAACGATATAAACTAAATTACGGTAACTTTTTTATAAAATATATTTTTTACATATAATAGAAAACTTACTATCTGTATTACGTGCTATAAATTTCTAAGTCATATAAGTTTGCAAAAGAGGTCGACGAAATACTTTAATGAATTGCGCTTATGAGCACGTGTGCTTGGTCGTATAGTAATTTCCAGCCACTTCTAGTCTGTCAAAAAGTAACTAACTTTGTAAAAACATAATTACTAAAATCACTAGACAGTTCGGACTGGGTTTAGCGAACGGGGGTTTTTTACAAAAGAGGGTTCCTTTACCGGCATGTCCGCTGTCATGTAAATTCCTTCTTTGTGTGATATTGATGGTACTATATTTAGAAGGTTCTTGACATATTATTTCAATTCTTCTATTAATTTTTAATTTTCGAGTATCAACATAAAAAAACATTTTAAGAAAAACATACTGACGCACTCATATTTCTTATAACCTTTACAATACAATTACACATAACAAAACAATTTGAAATTTTATAACATAAAATTATGTGAAACTTAATTATTTTTTAATTTTAGGTATACAGACGATTTTAAGAAGTCAGGTAAAGTGTACATTAAAGACATAAAATCATCGCCAGTTATACAATCAGTCCTTGCGCCCATTCCACCTGTACCAACTACACATATTCAGGCTGCACCCCAAAGTATCGCTGTTAATAAGACTCAGCAAAATATAGAACAAGTACCTTTTTATACATTACAACTTCCAGCTATTGTTTCTAATCCAAATATAGTTAATAAGGCACAAAAGTGTATAGAAACCCAGAAAACAACCCAGAACCAATTCGCTTATAACCTTAATCTTCTAAATACAACTAGTATCAAAGCTAATCTACCAAAGACAGAAATTCTCAGTAATGTAGTAGTGAATTCCCATGGCGAAGTTTTGAATATATCACATTTGGGCGAATTTGAAGCTATTTTAAATCAAGAAAATTCCATGAAAATAAAAAATAAGCAAATAAAACGTAAAGACACTAATAGTGTTCAAAACACTGTTGTTCAAATAGATTTAACTGAGTCTGATAACTCTGAGTTTGATACAGAAGCTTCCAAATTTGATAAGTTGCCTCACATAAAAAGCACTCATAATCATGATAAGTATTCATATCCCAATAAAATAGAAGAAAAACCTCCAAACGAGACTGTTATATTTCCTATTTCAGAATATAGTCAATCTTTTAACAATTTCAATTCCACTAATGTAGTATACTCTCAACCTAATCTAAGTTTAATAACCACTAGTTCCACGAATGTAATATCGAATACTTCCGCTACTCTAGATAACCCTTCTTTAAATTTAATCAATCAAAATTTACAAGAAATGAATCCACCTCCTTATACGAACGTCATTTCAACACATGTACCGCCCGAAGTTGAAAACAGTAAGACAGATATGGACCAAAATGATCATATTAGTGAAACAGTAAATACTTCACAATTGAATAGTTCAACAGTTCCTGTAAAAACTCATGTCTGCGAAATATGTCAGAGGGCATTTAAAAGAAAGGAACATCTATATCAACATGTCAAATTGCACACAGGGTTTAGACCTTATATATGCGAACATTGCAACAAGGCCTTTATGAGAAAAGAACATTTACTCAGACATAGTTCTTTGCATTCTGGTCAGAAAAATTTTGTTTGTACTATTTGTGATAAGAGTTTTTCTAGAAACGATAATCTATTAAAGCATAAGAAAACTCACGATAAACAGGCTAGTTATACATGTGAAGTATGTCAAAAACAATTCGTAATGAAGCACTATTTCAATGCTCATAAGCTGACACATGACAAATACTTCGTATCTACAGTTTGGGGGCTTTTAAAAACGTAGTATGAGTTTACAAGTAGAGCGTAAGCAAAAATACAAAGGGCTACTGTCATGATTTTTATTATTTTACTTTTTCTGTATTATGACTTATAATTTATTCTTATATTTATTGAGTGATAAATCAAACTTTTTAGTCCAGTTATATGGGCGTATGGTACTATCAATATTATTTATATTAAATTGATGATGGTAACCGACAACAGGAGATTACGAAGAGAAATTAAATAATACTTATTATATTTTCATTTTGTTAATAGCTTCGCGGAAATTAGATCTAGACAAATATTTCAATGTACAACTGATATCGTATTATCGATATGAAACGAATTCACACCAAGTCCAATTTTGAAGTATGCACGCGTCTCCCTTATTTTAAATAAGGAACAAGGAATTTTAAATAATTCTCTTGTTAGAACTAATTGTTTATGTAAATTGTTTGCTTATTCACTTACCACAAAAAACAAAATTTACATAATCAAACCGCAGCAAAACAATACATTCAAAACCCTATAGCATTAATATTTAACATTAAATGATCTATAGTATAGATGATTCCATCACATGGCGATCCTTCCATGGGTCTCAGCGATTTATGTGTATCTTACTTGTCTAACACTTTGAGATAGACGTTTTTTAGTTCCTCCGGTATGTTTTTCATTAAAACTTAATTATTACTAAGCCATTTTCTTAATAAGAAACTATTTTTCTTTAATATTTCTCTTAGAGCTTAATGAGTTTCGGTCAACGCTTCTGATCCAGCTATCACGTCGTCTACGTACACGTTGTATTTAACAATTTCTGCGTCTAGTGGATGTCTTAATTTCTCCTTTTTTACATAATGCCTGTATCATCCTTATTGGAAGGTACGGCGCTGGCGTCGTACCATATGTTACTGTTGCGAACTGATATTTCCTTATGGCTCTCCATAATATATTCCAGTAAGCTTTATGCTCTTATGCTATTTTATTTGCCTGACATTTTATCTAGATCTGCCGTGTATATTATTTTCCCTTTATACTCCCCTGAAAGGCTCATATTCAAATTGAAAGGTATTTATCTTATTTTTTTTTGTTTTACTGACATAATATGGTGAATTCCCTTGTAAGAAGTAATTGTTTGTAGTAAATCTCTTAACAAACAATTATTTCTAACAAGAGAATTATTTAAAATTCCTTGTTTCCGATAAAGAAGAAGGGACCCGTGCATATTTCACACAATATAAAAAATTTGAGATTTATTAAGATCTGCTTAAGTGAATAATTCGTTACGGCTTATTCATAATTTTTTTGTGATTCACTTGCAAGAAGTAATAAATTTGCTTCCCAAATAATTCAAAATCATATATCTCTCTTCTTCTTCATTTATACTTGTCCATCATTGGTTGAAGCTTCGGAGCATGGTTTCTTACGATGTAGATACATTCTGTTTCCAAATTATTCGGGAAACGCTGTCAATATTCTTTTATTATTTTCAAACTCTTTCTTGAATTGATTTTACAAATAATATACTTAGTAAAAAATGTGGGATAACTTAAAAAATAAACTTGATAAATAGGAATTCTATTGAGGCAGGCTTCTCTAGAAACATCCTCCACAATATTAAGCGAAATAAATGTTATTTTTATGAAATTCAGTTATTGTAGTTTTTTAAAAACCTACAGATCATAGTTCTATTTGAGAGTTGTACAGTTTTATTTTGTTCTGTCGTAGTATCAGATGACTGAGTTTATACAAATAGAAGCGAAAATCTGATCAGTTATAAGATTATTGATCTTTTTTGTAAAGTAATAATTTTCATGCAGTAACCAATTGGTATTATTAGTTTTTTTTTTGAATTTTACAGCTTGATCTCTTTAGATTGTATCCGTTTATGAATATAAAGACAAAACGTACTTTTAATTGGGTATTTGCCTTACATAAAAATAAAAGCTACAGCAGGAAAACATTCTGCACCGTTTGATATATTTTTCTCATATGCTGATACCAATATCGTAGTGTTTTTTATCAATAATGTCTGATATTAATGTACGTATATTCAGTTTACTTTAATTATATTTTTTAAAAATTTTTAAAAGAAAAACACAACAAATAAACAAGAGGAAAATGAAGATATAAAAAAAAATAATATTAATAAGAGTAAAATAAAAATATTATGATAAAAACGTAAAATAATAATAAAAATTTAAAGGAAACTTAGAAGAGACAAACGCGAAGAAAGAAAAGCAGAAGGAAAAAGGAGAAAAACAGAAACCTTGGAAAAGAGAAAAAACTTCAGACTGCAGTTTGTCTGGAAAACCTAAATATTTACTTGCTAGGTGCTGTTGTTTTACCCGGAATTCTTATGAACATTATCACTCTGTACTAATGATAAGTTCCTAATTTCACCAATTGGTGCTTTTTGTTTCGTTTATTTGTAGTTTATTGATGTACTATATTAAAGTATAACATACTGTAAATATAGTATAGTAGTAGAGGATATTCTTCTTTCGTTTTGGATTTCAAACCGTTTATCTCAGTTTCTTCTTGTAGATCGAATATATACGATTCTACGGAAGACGTAAAAGGTGTTACTCATTAAGATTGTAAATCTGAAGTCTGAATTTAGATGCATTCTGCTTTTTGGCAGCTTTTTGAAGAGAAACTCTAACCAATACTTTGGTAGCTGGTCGCGTTTGTGGATTTGATTAAAAAATACTCTTATATGGCCGATGATCATTTTATTTAGGAATTTACACAGTTCTATTAGAATTTGGTCGGGTTCAACTGCTTTATCTCTCTTTGCCTGTTTTATAGCTTTTTTCACTTCTGAGTTTAATATAAAGGGTCCTTTCCTGTATCATCCACTAAAATGGTTTGTTTCCTGGAACAGATCGCGTATATAATTTTGGCACTGTTCACAGTATTGTTTCATGGCACGTAAGATGTTATCATTTGAAACACTGAGTAGGTTTATTCCTTTGATTAAGATTTAATGTATGTTGATTCTTTTCACGATACTTAGTAGGATCTTTATTTTTGAACTTTCTTCGACCTTCCATTAGATTCAGTGTTTCTTGAGTCATTTACTCTTCCAGATAGTATAGTTCTTCTTTTTATTTTAGGTTTGCTTCTTGTTTATTTAAGAGTAAACTTTTTATATTCACTCAGTTTTCGTTGATATCGTCTCCCTTGGCTTGGGTATTTTTTGCTAAGTTCGTTAATTTAAATTTTAGGTGTGAACAAATTAGCTTGTGGTTGTGGACGAACTCTGGGCAATGTGAAATTAACAATCATCACATATATTATTCAGGTAACCAGACGAAGCATTCTATAATGAATTATCATTTATAACATCTATAACACCTTGAAACACCTTCCTAAAACGGATCTAACCTTAATTATGGGTGATTTAAATGCAAGATTGGTAGGAGACAATAGGGAGAATTCATAGGACAGTTTGGACTTGAAGGAAGAAATGAGCGATAAGTCCGATTGGGTAGATTTGTATCAGAAGAGTTTGTAATTACTAATACTTTCTTCAAAGTCCCATACAGAAGATTATACAATTGGAAATCACCTTAAGATACTTAAGGTCACATAGTCAGAAATCAAATAGATTACATTATTATTAATAAAAGATTCCGTAACAGCATTACATTAGTCAAGACATACCCAGGAGTTGATATCAAGTCAGACCATAACCCACTGATTTGCAAAATGAGGCTAAAGAAGATTCGACGTAGTGTCAACCCAAAATACGACATCAGGCTACTCAAAGACCAACGTACAGAACAGAGTGTAAAACAGCATATACATAGCAATTTGAATACCGTTATTCAAACGGATTTAATAGACCAGGAGCTTGAAAAATTGCATAGAGTTTCACAAGACAGAAAAGAAAAATTCCTCAAACCGCCAAAAATTAAGAAAAAATCTTTGATGACAAATGAGATTCTAGATATGATGCAAGAGAGGCGAAAGGTCAAAGATCAGCACAAGACATTATACAAAAGAAGAGACAAAGAGATTAAAAAAGCATTCAGGATACACAGTTGAGAAAACAATGTGCGGAAATACAGCTATTACAACAGAAACACGATTCATTTAATATGCACAAAAAAGTTGTGATGTATATATTTGTTTTATAGACTACAAAAGGCATTTGATGGAGTAAAACATGACAAGCTCATATCCATCTTGAAAGAAGCGGGTGATAGAATACTATTCTTAATACAAATATGTACTTTTTTCTAAATAATTAGCATTTTGAATTTTTAAGATAAAATCATTTTAAGGTATGTATATTTGTAACTCTATATTTCCATCAAAATTATCCATCTGTATAATCGTTAGTTCTACTGACCAAGTATTGATGTTGAGGTCAGGTTATAAGAACAAATGTTGATAGCATATACCA